ATGTCTGAGCCGTACAGTGTGCTGTTGGAAGAAGCGGAGCAAGTCCGAGAGAACTCCATACAAGATGTTTTCAGGTTGAGTGCAAACAACTGTAATGTTGAACATTACCCCTGTGCAGGTTCAGAATCAAGTTCACTCACTAGTGTTGAAGTGTCGGCGATCCTTGATATTCACACAGAGTGGGAAGTAGGCACGAGGGATAGGGCGGTCCAGTGGCTCACTCAGGATACCCACCAGTTGTTGTCTCCAGGTCCTAGTCCCCTGCCAGTTTTCTCATTGAGGGAGTTACAGGAGAAGCAGCAGGATGACGCAACCCTGTCAAGAGTCTTGTTCTATGTGAGCAGAGGAACAAAACCATCTAGACGTGAGAGAACTGGAGAAACTCACAAGGTAATTAAAACACTTAAACAGTGGGAGAAGTTCAAAATGCTTGACGTTATACTATACCGGGTGTGCAAGGATATCCTGACACGTAAAAGGAGATTGCAATATGTTGTTCCAAGTTCGCTGGTGAAGCAGGTTCTTCAAGGCATTCATGATGAGGCTGGGCATCAAGGTCAGGGTAGGACTTTATCCCTTGCGAGACGGAGGTTCTTCTGGGTCAGTTTGGAATGGGACGTGCGCGAGTATGTTAAATGTTGCAAGCTCTGTGTAGTGAGCAAAACTCCAGAACCTGAAGGAAGAGCTCCTCTGAAGGGCATTCCTCCCAAGTGTAAACGATGTCATCGATTAATTTCATGAGATAAATAATGTTTAAGTGTAATGTAAGACTGTGATGTCATGAAATTTAATGCAATGAATTGCATTTTGAATGTTTTACTGAGATTGGGTTTGCTTACTAGCTTTCTCCATGCTGTACGGGCAGACTGAAGGGGAGAGAGGTGTATCCCAAAAAAGTTTAATTGTGCTCTGTGTGTTTCTGCAGGTATGTTTGTTGTTTGTGTTTATATATTGAAAAATGTTTGAAATGTTTAATATCAAGTTTATATGAGTTTGATAAATACAAAAAAGAGCGAGGTCTGTATGCAAACGTGATGTTGTCAAATAGATTTTTTTGTGTGTGTAAAATCTGTAACTTTTGACTTTTTCCCCATTTAATTTATTCACTGATACGAATAAGTGGTGAGGAAACTTTATTTTATATTATTTCATATGCCATATAATGGTGACATGTATTTTGTGACTTATTTCATTTATTACTTTATTTCATTTATCTTATGTTTTGTAACTGTTAATTGAGTAAATTAAGATCTTGAGAAGCACATATGCTGCTGACGGGGTCGGTTGTGCTTTCTCTCGCTCTTCAAATGAGAGTACTGCTTTCTCCATGCTGTACGGGCAGACTGAAGGGGAGAGAGGTGTATCCCAAAAAAGTTTAACTGTTTCTATAGCAACCGGGACTTCTAACGGCAGCTGCAGTGACGCACTGACTTTACCGATTAGCGATTGGCTCTTTTGCTCAGAAGACGGGGCTTCGTTCGATAGAGCGGCCATATTGAGTGTTGCATTTTTCCCCATTCAAAACTATAGAGTGACACGTCTTGGGTATTCTATAGTCTTTGACTCCACACGGTACAAACAAAGAGAAGAGAAATGAGAGAGAGCAATGAACTCCAGCAAGATGTCATTTTATGCAAATCCCCAGACCTTTATCTACACATCGAGTATTATAATGGTAATATATCATCTTGGAGAGAGTTTTACAGTGCTGACTGTCATAACTGAACGTGACGTGCTGTTTGAATGCTGAGCAGAGAATAACTGACAGCTGCAGCAGAAGGAAGATCAATTTCTGTAAACTTAAATTTAACAATGTAAATATAATTCTGTCCCTCACATTAAGATATAGAACGGCTTCAGATGATATAGATACAGTGCATGAAAACCAAATTGGTGCTCTTCTGTTTCTTTTGGTGTATGACTCCCCCTTGGCCCTTCTGCCGTATAAAAAGCACAATAAATCGTGGGTTAGATCAAATAATCGCGATTAGACGGTTATTTAATTATCGCGGCAGGCCTAGTTGTAGCCTATATATTATGCTCTATTCATTATTTTTTAGAAACCTTGCATTTTTCTACTCCATTTTAAACGGTGTTCTTATATTCAAATTAAGCGCGGTCCACTGCTGCACACGTGCCACAATATCGATACAGGGACCGCTGTATCGATACTCGTGTCGTCAAATCTCTGTGACGATACATCGATATGATGAACACCGCACTAACATGCACACACATACACAGGGTGAGAGGGAGGGGTGAGTCTCCGACAAGAGTTTCCTGCCACAGGATTTGAAACTAGAGCTCCTTCAGCTGTGGTCTCCTGTTTCCTCACCCCATTTCCAAACACATTCATATGTTGGGATGTAGTTCCGTAGCTGTATCTGTTAGGATCCACGCTTATTAAAAATTAGCCTTCACATGTTTATAAGAATTTTGGGACAGCAAGAAATGGAAAGAAATAGTACTGTATTTTGTAATGCATTCCTAATTATTCCAAATTAGCATGAGGTTTCTTTACTTGGCCTATACCAATGCTAATCTGACCCAGACAGTGGCTGGGTCCAGAGCACAAGGAGGCATCAGGCAGATGGGGTTGTGCTTAGCCCAAGAGCATAGCAGCAGAGGTCAAACGAAGTACACTACCGAGAATCTGAACAGGAGTTCCTCCATTTGTAACACTATTAAAAGTGCTTTTCCATGGCACAGTGATGGTATCAGCAACACCATGGTATTGTATCATTATTACCATATTAATACACTACTGTTCAAATGTTTGGGGTAAGAATTTTTTTTTTTTTTTTTTTTTTAAGAAATTTATATTTCTATTCAGCAAAGAAGCATTATATTGATCAAACATGATAGTTAATATTTTTTACATTGTTACAAAAATATATTTTTAATATTAAGCAGCACACCTGTTTTTAACATTGATAATAAGAAATGTTTCTCGAGCAGCAAATTCGGCATGCGCAGAGTTTAACTCTAAAAATGTGGTTCTGCAGACATCGAGCAGAAACTCACGAATGTATGCGCGCTTAGAGACAGATAGACGCGACGAATACGTACAAAAACACTGCGACTCACAAGACAAAAAACACGAAAACACCTTTCTGTTTCTTACCATCACAGGAATAAATTATTTTTTTAAATATATTACAATAGACAGTTAACAACAGTTATTTAAATTGTTATAATATTTCACAAAATGCATTATTTTTGTATTTTTGATCAAGTAAACGTAGCCTTTTGAATCATACTGTAGGTCATGGTGAAAAATGGCATACAAATCTAAGATGCTTCAAATAATACCATGGAATCACAATCCTGTCCAAACCAACATGGTATTAGAAAAAAATACATATTTACATCTTTAAGAAGGTTTCTTTGTTTATATGATAATGTTGAATGTACTGTACATATAAAGCTCTGAGATACTGTACTTGGCCAATGTTTCACTAACTCCTTCAACAAGCACTACTGAATGAGGACTAGACCATGTAAACTGCCCTATCTAAGAGGAGAATGATAAAAGAAATGACATGCAGAAAAACACTGCAGACATTTTTTCCACAAGTTGTCTTCCACAACTGGAACTTGAGGTCTCACAATACTTTAATCCATAGCATTGCATGTTATTAACGTAAACCCATAACTTACCTCCAATTGTAACACAGGTTTATCATATTAGAACTCAAAGAGTTCATGTACCTTTACAGCAGATTTCACTTAGCTGTAGGCTGTGTGAGAATTAGGGGGGCTAAAATTTTACTAGATTCTGAACACTGCTGGTTCTATTCACTAAACTTTAACATTTCTGTATGCCTTGAAATCCTTGGAACGAGCCTGTTGCCTCCAGCTTGCATATTAGTGTCATGGCACATGATTGCAGCATTGAATGGATTCGAACACCTCATTTCTCTCCACGGGTTTCACCAAATCATCCAACGCTTGAACATTTTAAACCTTCTCAAGAATAAAATGATGGTTTGGAGCAACAGTATTATTGGCACTGTATCATCCCAGGAGGGAAAAAATTATTTACAGGACATCTTCACATAAAACAACTGTGCACTGCTCAACTCAACCTATTTAAATATAACATCTATTCAATTGGCTCAGCCAATGGCATGATTTTGAAATAGGGCTATCTGTTTTTCTGACCCTAGTCCAGAAATTACATACTTCATCTGTACATTTCTGTGCAACTACCCGTTCAGTAGCAAAATGTACAAATAACAGCTAAGTTGTTGCAAAAGGAAGAGCAGATAAAAGATACAGGATAGTGTTGGGTAGAAAGTGTTCACAGTCTTGAGTGGTTTGGTCTTTTTACCCGTTATGCCAACCATGAGGAAACACTTTAATCAATCAAAACTGAACCCAAATTAAAGGGATATTTTAGGGATAATTCTGTCATAATTTAGTCACCCTCATGCTGTTACAAACCTGTATGACTATCTTTCTTCTGTGAAACATAAAAGATGATATTTTGAAGAATGTTAGAGACCAAACCATTTTGGTTACCATTGACTTCCACTGTTTGTGTTCCAGAGATGAAAGTAAGTCGTGCAGGTTTAGAATGTCATGAGTAAACGACAACAAAATTATAATTTTTGGGTGCACTATCCCTTTAAACGTAATCATCCCGACCAAATATTTCTAAGATTTGTGGGAACAATAAAAGAAATACATATGTGATACATTTTTAATGCAGGACGTAAGAGCGAGAGAATCAGACCTCAGCTTGATTCAGTCACTCTCTTTCAGTCTAGTCAGATACAGAGGAGCTTTGTGAGACCTGCATCACTCAAGGAAGCAGACAGAAGGGAACCTTGTTTGTGTCTTATGTGAAAGGTCACGGGTCATCACAGACCAAAAGGACAGGGAGCCCTAAAGAGAACATTTTTTTATTTTCCAGAATTCTGGTTGTTTTGTATATATTCTTTATTAAATCTTTTGCAAATAGGAACCAAACTGAAAAAAAAAACATTTTGTGCCCTTTAATAGTGCAATCGAGTGACTAATGAGTATTTCTCTACTGTGCTAAATACGGTGTGCTAAATCCTCTACTGCACTACTGTGCTACCTGTTTGTAGAGATACAGACCAGTCTCTTTTCTCAAACAAATCAGTTACACTAATGCCGGAGCTGAAGCTTATCATGTGTGGGTTATTCCTACAGTCTTGTCTGAATTCATTTTATACTACAATGGACATGTTTAAATGGCTGATCATGGCTATCATGTTCATCTTCATGGATCTAGATCTTGGTGCTTCAGAATGGACGGTTTTTGTCTGTCCTCGTTCATCCCATAATAGGTTCTACAGCCTATGTCACAGAAAGCAGGAGGCCTCTTCTTTCCCCCCACTTTAACTGGAGCTGGAACTGAAGAACCAAGGGACTTTCAACATCCTTCTTTGTTTCCCTCAGGAAAAAAAAAAGAAGAAGAAGGAAATGGAAAAATGGGAATGGAAGCAGCATGTGGAAAAAAGCAACAACATTTTCTGATGACTACAAAGAGGTATACACAAATAAGAGCTTTAAAATGAAGGAAGGGAAATGTGGAAATTAAACAGTCAAGAGCCTATGTATAGGTTTATAAAGTGGCATTGAAACATAACTAAAAGTTTCTTCATGCTTCTTCAAGGAAGAAAAATATCAGCATTACCACAACAATACTGTATCAACAATTTCTGTTCAACATTCTTAATCACTTTGAGCCGTCCATGTTCTGCTCGCTCTCTCTCTCTCTCTCTCTCTCTCTCTCTCTCCATATGTGTCAAGTTAAACATATGCACTTGGTGTGTTCCTTGTATGTAACATCTTTTGGACATATGAACATGTCCAAGCTTGGCTGTTCGCCATATAGTCAATCTTCAACTCAGATCAAGGACAAGTGCTCCCTTCCCAACATCTCAATATAACTAATAAAATAACAAACAAAACTACTGATCAGAACACAGCAATTTGCTTTATATTCTAAATCATGTCTATGAAATAATCAGTATTACTGTGGCTGGTTGATTTACATGTTGGTCAGACGGTCTCTTCCTGTTAGGGTTAGACTTAGGCAATTCTTGACCTGAATAAGCTGCATGAGGTCTGGTTATGCAAAGTATTGTTATGGAGATTATTATTGTCATTAGAAAAGAACAGATCACTGCTATTTTTGTTTATTGTTTATCTAAAAGCAATTGCCCAATTAGATTTTGTCTATTTTTTTCATCTCTTAATAATCAATCATAAATCAAGATACAATACATCTTAATGGACATATTAGCATATTGTGAGGGTTTTGAATTGCAATCCAATGATCTAGCATGCTAATATTATCTAGCATGCTTTCATGAGCTGCTTGACACAAAAGTTCAACATGAAAAAATGACTGGAAATATTTCTATCAAATGAAAATTAATCCTAGAAGAAAAGATCCTATGCTAGTGATAAAACTATACAATTATCACACCGTTAAGAGTTAAAATATTTCTGAGGGAGCCTCTGTTATGGCCTGTTTAACAAAATAAAAACATGAGTATTTAATAGCTAGCAAAAAGTATATATAGTTCATGGAAAAGAGCAGCTTGGATATTCTTCTAGATGACTTATTTTGTGTTCCACAGAAGAAAGTTAGTCATAAGGGTTTGGAAAGGCTGCATGAGGATGAGTAAACAATTAAATATATATATTTTTGAGTAAATTATTCATTTAACATCTATGAACTTTAAATCAAACATTGCCTTAACAATTCAGTTTTTATCCCTTCATTTCAAGTGTTTTTTTTTTATTCTGTCCTCCTGCTGTCGGCAATAAATCTGCATGCTGAGTGTTTAAAGATTAATGGTTCTCTCTCTCTCTGCATCTCTCCCTCTCCCTCCCGCCCTCTCTCTCTCCGTCCCCGCATTCTTTCTTCATTTCAACACCCCGGCAGTACCCTCACGTATGCATATGTAAATGGTTCTGCCTCTGAGCCGGTGGAAGTAATTGTATGCATTTTTAACTGGCCAATCGACTGACAGATAGGCATAGATTGTCTCGTCTACCTCTCTTCCTCTCTCTCTTTCTATCTCATACAAACACACACATGCTCAGTGACTTTTTAAAATGTATTTATTTTATTTTTAGCTCTGTGCCTACCCCTCCAGATGCACAGGAATCATTATGTGGTGGTGGTGGTCTGCTATAGGGCGATTAGAAACTAGAAATCTCTCAACTCTCTTTCCCCACCAGTGAGATTTTCTTAATCCATCTATTTGTGTTCTTTCATGAGTAATGAGTTTGCCTATTTTGGTTTTGATAAACTTTTAAAATAAGAAAGAAAGACATCATTAAGTGATCAGAAAGAAATAAGCTTTTTTTTAAGGAATATTTTACTTGAATATTAAAACTTTCTTTTTTCTGCAGAACACAAAGAGAAACTCTGAAGACTGTGTCGGTCACTCTTTTGCTTACAATTACAATGAATGGAGACTGGGAAGAAGATACAATAAAGTATCAAAAGTCTGTTCAACTCCTCAAATTGTACATTTTTGGTTAATAACAATCTTCACTCAATTAGTGAACAATTCATTCAGTCTAGTTTTCTGAGACAAGTCAACAAATAATTGAAAATCTCAAAAGTAATTAAAAAAAAATAATAAGATAAGAGTGAGTAAATAATGACAGAATTGGATGAACTATTGCTTCAAAGCTATACCACACATAAAAATAAACTCTGTAGCAGCCATTATGCTGCGTCTGCAACTGCCCAGTCAGTCTGTCAGTGAATAAACACTTGGTTTAGGTATAGTGGCAAGGAATTCATTTTTTCATGATTTATTAAATATGTATTAATCAATTCAAAAACAATTTACTGATGTATCTTCTAATTCAACAAAGTGGCAGAGCCTCTGGAACTTAATTTTCTTTAATGTATGAACTGATAAAACTCGTACCATTGCCTCACAACATTAGGATTCAGATTAGAACTCTGCATTAGTTTGCAGCTCTGCCTTAAGAGGTTAACCGACAATTATTAAGTACTATACATGTTAATATAATATGTATGCATTAACATATGGCTTTTATTGTGGTTATTAAGTAGACCAACCTGCTTGCAGTCGTCTTTTGGAATAATTCAATTATTTAATACATTCACACTGTGTGGTTAAGAGGGTTGTTTAAATGTCATTACTTTTGAGAGTAATGTGGTCCCTTGATGGAAATTAATGGCATAACAATGAGCTAACTTTGCTTATGGCACACCAAATCAGGATGCAAATCATTGGTGCTTCTCACAAGCTTTCTTGAAATTGTAAGCCATTAATTTCTTTATTGCCATAGATTCAGTATTTAACTGTAAGTAGATGAACGCATTTAGCATTTGTTGAATTTGATTCAGTGGATAATGACTATAACAGATCAACAATGCCACAATTTTCTGTTCTTTCAAAGCTGTTTGCAACAGTTTTAGCTGTGGCACAAACAATGTCAACTTCCATGACAACAGAAGACATATTGTAATGTTCCTTTTTCTAATTATTGTTTTCCAGTTTCTTTGTCAAATGAACAGCCTATTGTGGAATACGACTGCATTCAGAAGAATTCTTCTGATTATATGGATGGGTATGATATGAAAGACACATTAGAAAACTTTGGTAACTTACTAAACCTAATTTTGTGAAACTCACTAAACTAAGAGGTATCAAATATGTTACCGAATGAGATATCAGATTAACATGCACTATGTCCAGAGTTAACTTGCTAACCTGGACATTTCGAGCTTGGCTGTGACAAAGAAATATATAATTTACTGAAGAGAGCACTCATAATAACACTTTTCTGTTCCTTTTCTATTATCTTCTATTGGAAAAAGAAAAAAAGGACCGCTTTATGTTCAGGAGGATATGCAGGAAAAGTCAGAGATGACTCCACTCAGACTATCAGAATCACTTCATGTCCAAGTGCATTGTCATAGATGAAGTTGTTTTAGGACATTTTCTGATAATCTCTCCTGTTCCACCCTCTTTCACTTTATAACTCATTCTCTATCTTCTGAACATGAACAAACCTGAACAAAGTTATCAGAGAAAGCTATCACACAATAATACTGGCTTTACTTTATTATTTTCTGCGAGACACAAAAACTTGGTGTGTCTCTAAAACAACCATGTTCATATTTGAACGCTGCACATAGAGCTTACAGAAATAGCAAAACATTTGTCTACAGAATTAGCACTGATGCTAAAAACAAAGCTTTGTGGTGATAAAAAGGGGAGGACTTCACCTGGAATAATTAGAACCATTTGTTGTTGCACTTCAACTAACGGCCTGCTGGTTGAAGCAATTTTAGACTATTTATCAGGGTAATTTCACAGAGAATTGCTCACTATTCTAACTTGCACAAAATAATTTATATACAGCATATAGAATCACTTTCGGTGCAAGTAATGCCATCTATCTGACATTGCTTCACAGACACTGATAGAACCATTTAGGAATAAAATCGAATATGGTGTTGGCTGTAGTCCAAATGTGATTATAATGTAATCTGTACACATCCCAGAGGAAGTGCACATTGTAAGTCTAATTTGCAGAAAATGATTTGGACAAGTTACACATGTTGTGGGGGGCAATTGTGGTGCTCAGTGATTGAAGTTCATCACCTTAACTAGTAGGGCCCTATGATTTCCGCGATGTGGATAGAATTGCGGAATCCTGTCATAAAATGGAATTTACTGTATAACACGGAATGTCACGGAATATGCCAAATTTTAAATTAATAAATCAGAAGTAGGTCAGTACACTTAAATCAAAACGCGATATGGACTAGTGTCTGTGAATATTAAGCCACAAAATTACAATTTAAATATGAATCCTGCATGTTCCGTGTGTCTCTATGTGAATGAATGGTACAGATGCGTGGTTTCGTTTACTACACACATACTGAAGCGTGAAAACTATCATCATATCACATATAAACAGAAACGTAAAGGTTTTTACAGCAACCTATCAAAATAAAAGTTCGTTTTAACCTGAAGAAACTGAGACAAATATATTACTTAATGTAATGATAGTGCTGCTACTACTACTAATAAAATTATTATTAAAACATTCTTTTTAAGGAATAATCACACAATTTTTCTTCCATGTTTTAATTTTAACCATAAACCTCTGTTGTGCATCATTTTGTTTGCCAAAAATGGAAGGATATGTTTAATTTTAATTTGATTAAAATATAAATTAATGTTTTCTGCCTTCATTTACTTACCAGAAAAATGTAAATACACAACACAGTATTTAAAAAAATAAAAAAATAAATAAAATAATAATAAATATATTTTTAAACATTACTTTGCTGTTACTTGCCTTTATTAAAATTTAGTTAAACCATTAAAATGGAATCCAGAAAATTAAAATGGAAAAGAATTTGGTAAAAAATAAAATACAATTTGAGAAAAAAATAGGGCCCTAAAAATGTAATTTTTGTTCAACTTTTAATAAATTGTTGTTAAATTGTGTAAATTTCATGATTTCTATTAATTATACATGCTTTTTTATTAATAACATTTAATTTAACCATTACAACAGAGTCCAGAAAAATTAAAACAGAAAAAAAAACTGAATCCAGAAAAATTAAAAATTAAAAAATAAAACAGAATCTGGGGAAAATAAAATTGATTTCATAGGGCCCTAAACTAGTTAGTAGGTTTATCAGGGTATCAGATATCCTTAATGAAATATCACTTAGTACTTGATATATAACTGCTTAACTACTCATATGCCTTAAACAGCTGTTCCCAGATGTGCCTAAAGCTTTGGGTGTAAATTCATAATCTCAATCCATATTACATGTAAATGCAATAATGCAAGACTCTTGTTTAAAACAATTGGAATTTAAATTGGAATGACAGAAAGTGGAATTTGCTCAATTAAGTGTTCTTCCACATTGGTGCATAAAATGAAAATAAATGTATGAAATATAAATCACGTACAAATTTCTTTGACATTTCAAACAAATCTGTCTGTCTGTAAGGCCTAATCAAACTTTAAAAAATTACAGTCATTGAAGTTATACAAATTCCTCATTTTCATTCTACTTCCTTAAATTTAATGCTGTGTTCTGTTTACAATTCTACAACAATTCATGTTTAATTCAAATTCACAAACTCGACTGGAAATTAAAAAGCATTCTCAATTCATCTTTGAATGGTGCACAACCCTAGACCTCTAATAGCATTAAAAATAGCTTGACTGACAAGCTGATTATTCATTACAGAGACAATTTTATCACAGGTGATTTCCACAATAAGGTTCAACTAGCACCAGGGTCTTGTGGGCCTTGAACAAAAGTATGACCCTAATATGTCCACAACCTCAGCATGCAGCACAAATCAAATGCAAAAAACACTGAAAATCAGTTGACTTGAACACGTCTGTCTCCCCTAAAAGATATAAGTAGGATTGCATCAACTTCTAGACATTCTAGATGCGGCTTTCATGAAACTCTAGACTTCATTCACTCTCACTGAAGGATTTTGTATAGTTTTCAACAACATATCAAGCCATCAGTGTACTGTCTACAAAGTGAGATATCTCATTAGATCTTCATCTATCATCTTGTTTGCGTGTAATATTATGTGGTAGGTCTATTGAGGCCTACTGAGTTTAGAGAGGTATCAGGTTCTTTTGTTCCTTTTTCTTACAGCACATTTTCCTTCTGAAACCATTTTTTCATTGTCAAATAACTTCACGCCTTTAATTTTCAATGATTAATGCGCATATAAATGTAATGTCACCTACCTAAACATCCTTCTAGGTCTTCAAAACCTTCAAAATCTTCAAAGTATTATAGCCCATTGTAAGGCAAATATTTGCAGCAGTGTGACACCATACATTCTGACTTTAACATGATATCAACCTTTTTATTGCAGCAAGGGTGGAAAAATTAAATTAAAACTACATGCTTCCAAATATAAAGACAATTGCATATCAGTTCATTAAGGATTAATTTCCAGTGCATACATACAAACACTCACAGCCACTACATGAGTTTAAATTAAGCAAATATTCTTGTTTCTCCTCATCTAAACACGACCACGCAGCACTGCTGTGGAGCATTTTCAGTGCCGCAGCAATGTACAGGCACCAGCGACACACAAGGTGTCATCACGACCACAAATCACTTCAATGTGAGTGTCTCTCCCCCCCCTCCTCTCTCTTTCTTTTTCCCCTCTCCAGCGCACCATATAGGATGGAGTTAGTATATATCTCAATTAGAGAGCAGGGGTTGGAAGTGGCGAGTGGGAGGGCTTGTGTCCAGGCTGACTCCTCCCCCCGTGCCCCACACCAGCCCACTTAAAGTGGAAGCAGCACCGCAGTGTCGTCTGGAGCCCTGTCAGTCAAAAGCCCTGGGGCCCTTTATGCAAATCAGTCTGTCTGTGGTGGACCGGGAGGGGAGGAGGAAACATGTCTAGATTTGTTTGTTATCCGTTATGCCCTCCCTTTCAATTCTTCCACTTCATCTTCTCGCTCTCTCACATACACACACACAAAAGCTAAGACTCTCCTCTATTCCATCTTTCTCTTTTCTTCACCTTCCCTCATGGTATGCCTTGACACTTTTATTCCTCCTTTTTCTCTCTCAGGTCCCATAACCTGTCCATTTCTACAGCCTTGAGATAAGAAATTGTGACATAGCTGTGAAACTGGGAACCAGTGAGGTGAAGCATGCAATGCTACTGGGCTCGAGAAACTGGGTCGCAGAAAAAGGGAGGCTAGATGTGTGTGTGTGTGTGTGTGTGCGTGCGTGAGGATGTCTGTGCACATGTATAAAGATTGTATCACAGATCTTGTTTTCAAAAAAGGTGCAGACTGAACTTAATTGTATAGAGGATAATCAGGATATTAATACATGCTTCAATTAAAGGGGTTTTAAAAATTCCCCAAAACTGGAACATAAATATAAAGTCTTTCATCACACATGCTCGTATATGGGTCAATTTTACAATTGTTAATGCACCTAGTTCTGGACCTCTTTGAAAAAGCAGACGGACTATTTAAAAATTCCTTGAGGAGAAAGACCACAATTCCTCATTCCACAAATCCCCTTTTAAAACTCTAAGAAAAGCGTAAGGTTTGAGAAAACAAGATGTCTCAGTGCATCCCTTTGGAATACCCCCTGTTGTGAAATTCCTGAAGATATCAAACTAAGACAGACAAGTGAGACAAGAGCTGTGATGTTCTTAAAAAAAACTGGTGACCAAACATCACCCATCACCAAAAGAGCAGCATCTTCATCTGTATAAATAAAAACAGCAGGTAACATTTAGACTAAATAAACATACAAATAGTTCTGACAAATCATCTGCTTGTCTTATCCAAATCAACAACTTCAAAAGTAGTAATGCTAAGACAACACTGTCTGTCAAACAATGACTGGATTATTGGATCTTGCCGTATTAAAGTACAGCACAAAAATAAACTGAATTTTTTTTTTTTTTTAAAGTAGGCAGAAAGGGAACTTTATTTAACATGCTGGATGACTTTCACTACCAGGATCCAGATGTCATATTATATATTTTACTATATTTTAAAAAGATGCATAACAGCAGTACTGCAACTCAATTTACTCAATACTGCAACATGTAACTAAAAATACATTTCATTGTATTTAGCTTGAAGTTAGATAGATTCAAGTGCACTCAACTGCATATTTTATTCAGAGTTATATTTTATAGTGGCTGTTTTCATCCTTTTTTTGTTTACACATTGTAAAGTCCAATACACAAGGGTTAATATGTTTGAGGAAGTTAGAGTGAAAAAAAACTGGCTGCAATGACATGCCTAAACTAGATCTGAAAGAGGGTGTGTGTGTTTGGTAGTAACAGTACTGACCTGTGGAGACCTGTCGTCTTTCCCATCTGAAGACACACATGTGAGAGCAGCACACTTCTGAAAGACCACATAATCATAATTGTTAATCATAACTTCAAACTGACAAACTCTCCAAAAGTAACAAAATAGTCCTAAAAATGCTGTAATCACGAGGCCCTGGCAGACATAGCAGCAGAATACTGTTGCCAGTAAGTTACTGTTTTAGGAGCCCCACGCTCTTGCGTCGCCGTTCTTATACTGGCGAACGCGCCATCTGCTCCTCAGATTTCTCTGCCGAAAAAGACCTCTTGTCGGCAGCGCGAGGAGCTTGGCATCCCTATTCAGAGAACAAGTAACCCGAGACATTCTCTTTCATAGGTTCACTCAACGCAGTGTCGCTATGACACATTGGGAACGATATCCCAAACACGCTAAGCTAAAGCGCTGCCGTATCTGGCCCAATGAAGAACCAGATTGTATCCCCGGCTGGTTCAGGCTGACAAAACCCGGGAAACAGGAGCCGTGTCAAGATCCAAATTATAGAACCTGATAAAAGTGTGCGGAGAGAACCATCCTGCGCTACACAAATATCCTCTAGAGGGACTCCCCTAAAAAGAGCTTGAGAGGAAGCCACAGCCCTGGTGGAATGCGCTCGAATGCTGAGAGGTGAAGAAAGACCACGCACCTCGTATGCCAGTGAAATAGCGTCCCTAACCCAGTGTGAAATTCTATGCTTTGACGCGGCAAGCCCACGGCACCAAAGCATACTAACAGCTGCGGAGATTTCCTCCACTGGCTAGAACGATCCACATAGAGCGTCAAAGCTCAGACAGGACAGAGCATGTGAAGTCTCTCATCCTCCCCTGAAGCAAAAGGAGGAGGATGGAAAGATTTAAGAGTCACCACCTGA